CTAGTGATTCTATGATTCTATCTGTTGTAGATACCTTGGGGAAAACCAGGAAAATCTACTTTCCTCTGCAAATATGAGCTAAGTTTGCATATAATGTTTATCAGCACAGAATTTTAGGTGCTGTTACCAATTTTATATGACTGATATTTTACTATTGCACTCAACCAGTCTTTTTTGTCAGCTGATAGGCAGGCATGACAGTAATAAACTGTCAGACAACAGCCAAACACATTTGGGTTTTTCTGTTGATGTTTTTTGCATGATCTTTGTTTGTTTTGCTCTGCTCAATAGGTGAGTGGATCTACCAAGATGGTTTTTGAAAGGCTGGCTAGCTAATTTGCCAGTAATACTGAAAATGTGCTGCTCTAGATGTGACCAGGAGCAGTATCCCAGGTCATCAGGGCAGCATGTTGCCTGTGAGTCCCTGATAGTCATTTGCAGAGATAAAAACTGTCTTTCTATTGGAAAAACAGAACGGTGAAAATGAACTTGCATTTTTCTAGTAGCTAATAAAACACAGAACTGGCCTGCTTTAGAGAATTTGATTTGGAAATATGTTATTTCGGCATGTAAAGTAGATCCGAACCTCACTGATACCTGTGTTCTCTTCCCCCCTTCTGTTGGGGTTTATTCCAGTACTTGATTCATGTTGCACAGTTCCATGGAGGGGGGGAGGTAGCAGCAATTTGTGAACTGCCAGGGATCTGGAGAAGCTCAATTCAGGAGTTTTTTTCAGTTTGAAAAACCCTTCTAAGATAATGTAGAAAATAATTCTTTTTGTTCACTTTTATAATGTTTTTTCTTTGAAATTGCTTTCTGTGTTGTATTATGAACTCAGCTTGAAGGAAGAAAGGGTTTAACCACAATGGAATAGTTCAGTTAACCCAAACTGGGTTTGTTGCTGTTCTCCTGTAACTTTCAGTTGTAACCTTTTCTTGCTTCCTTCATGTTCCACATCTGCCTCTAAGAATTTCAGGATTTCTCCATTTGTTTCTGTTCTGCCTTTTTTTTTTTTCTTTCCCTTCTGTCTCCTTCTACGTCTTGTTTTGATCTTTCTTACCCCTGAAGATTCTCTGGAGTTGGAAGGCATCCTTCGTGTGTCTTAGCTGACATCTTTACAGCCAGATGGAGAACACAGTAAGAATAAACACTGCATTCACATTCCGTCTTAATCTTGTGGGTCTGATCAGTATCTGCTTGAACAGACCAAAAAGTAGCATCCTGGCTAAAAAAACGGAGCTTTTGGTCTGATTTTTTCCGTAGCAGGAAAGACATTTTGATTATGGGTGCAGTTGGTGAGCACCTTTCTTTTCCGTGATTTATCTGTTGTGGGTTTGTTGTTGTTCTGTTTTACCTTTTGAAAGAGGAGCTCTAAACCACCCCAGCACTCGATACTTCATACCGCTTCTCAAAACCGCACCGGGGCAGTGGAGTTTCAGTGCCGGTGTTTCACCTCGAAGAAGAAATGGGTTCCGTGTCCCCGCTGAAAAGGGCAGTATCCACTCAGGCTGTATGTGTGTGTTTCTTACCATCTAGTAAATCTCTGACGTCGTGGGCACAAAAGCTGAAACTCAACCAGCCAAGGAGAATGAACGCCGAAGTGTGTGCGAACTCTATGCAAGAAAATGAGCAAGCCAAGAAATTACCACTTCATAATGTGAGTCTCTTTCTTTTATGGTATCTTTCTAATTTTATTCTTGTCACTGGTATTTTTTCCATGTTCTAGTGTGTTCTGATTCAGCATGTGCTTTCATACTTAGCTCTAAGCGGCGTTCCCATTTACACCCTTAAAGTCCATGAGGGCAGAGCTTACCCCTTAGATCGTTCTATACCTACTCATAGCCATTTTGGCTTATTTTATTTGTTGCCCAGTTTTTGTCTTAGTTTACCTAAGTGGCACATGTGTTCCCTTCTAGAGAGAACAGTCACCTTCGCAGTTGAAGCTTCAGGTTGTGGTACTTCCTCTGCCCTATAGTTTTTGGAAGGGCCTTCGATTTCAGCTGGTAATGCCTCATTTAGAACACAGGGCTCTGCGTGTGGAGGGGATAGCCGCTTTGCTCAGGGCAGGGTATTCTTCAGATGGGGCTTTCAAGTTGCAGGGACTCTTTGGTTGAGTTGGGTTTGGGCTTTTTTTAGTGTTCTTAGGAGTATCTTAAGCCAAAACCCCCTTTTTTTTTTTTTTTTCCCTTCTTTAATTGTTTATGTAAGAATAATACATTCCTTTATGCCTGTGTTACCGCAGTAGTTACTAAAGATAATCACCCCCCCACCAGACATTCAGGAAACCTACTTCTCTCTTTAGAACCATTTGTAGTAACGTCTATTGCTGTGACTGCTGAATTGGCTCAAATTACTTCTTTCGAGAAGAATTTGGTTCGTCCCCTCTTATTCTTGAGTTAGTAATTGTCCACAAATCTGATTATTTTGGGGAGGGGAGTTTAATCACACGGAGTATTTCTGATCCAAAAGGATGTTACGCAACGTGATTGCATGAGTAGTCGTCATACAGCCTTGGAATTACTTTCAGTGTATTAATTGTCACAAACCTCTCTCCTTATGCTGTTTTTAAGGAAATAATTTCTGAGCCTCTGTGAATGACTCCACCTACTAGAGGACAGGAGAACTAGCAAACATGAATCGTGTGAATCGAGGCAGGGTCTGTTTTGTTTCCTGTGGTCACTCTGAGGGTGATCCAGGAAGGGTAAGAGCAGCTGTTCGGACTCGCTGTCTCTGGTCTTCTATTGCCAGTGGAACCAAGAGCTTACTCTAAGGGGATATTTCACACCATGAGTCAGATTTTATCTGCTGCAGATTGTTGCATTTCTCTCTCAGCCTTTGAAAATACCTTTATCTTTCTGTTCCTTTAGAAGAACTCAGTTGATACCCCTTCGTTTTCCTTTCTTCCTCCTTAGGCAAAGGAGAATAGCTAAATAAAAACTTTAACAGGGAAAAGATAGCCTTGAGGTGAGATGGTACTTCATCCAGAAAAGCTTTAGTTCTGAATTTTTTTTTTCCTTATTTACTTCTGCTAACTCCATGGGTTAGTCCTCAGTTGCATGGGCTGTACACATTTGCCAAGTAGCGTGACTGCGAGGGCTTTCTGTCGCATTACGGCAGCTGAAGTGCGGTAGCAGAGAGCAGTGGGAGACGACCCTTTGAAAACTAGCTGCCCTTACTCAGTTGCTCTTGTGCCACTGTGTACATCAACGGCACTTCTTCCTCTGATTGAGGAAGAGGAGTTGTAGCAAACATGAAATTCTGTGAATTTTTTCTATGTGTTGGTGCCGCCCTTTTCAAAGTTGTTCCTGCAATTAGCTGGGAAGGTTGCTTAGGAAGTTCAGATGGATGAGAGGGGTGTGTAGTGTCTTGTCTGTCTGAGCTAAGACAGTCTTTACCTCTGGATTTGGGGTACATGGAGTTGTAACAGCTGAATATAAGAAATTCCAATCTTAGGACAAGGAAAGAGCAGTGGTTAAGTCATCCCTCTATATACTTGCACCTCTTAAGGAACAAGAAAGTTTAGAAGACTGTCCAGAACATGTATTTTTGTAACAGTTAATCTCAGAAATGCTGCACAGGTGGCAGGGCACATGACTTAGAAAGTATCAGTATCTTTTAATTACGTGGCTTGGCTTAGCTCCCCTTTAGGCTGTGGCTGCAAACGGTGTAGGTTTGGATCACGCTGTATAACTAAATTGACTCTGCTCAAAAAGACTAATAACGTTTACTTGCAAGTTTTCAAAAATTATACCCTTCTGGTTCCCTCCCCTCCCCCTTGCCTTGTGATTCTCCTTATAAATCTGGTTTTCCTTTGTAATTTTAGGCAAACCTTACTGCTGCTGCTTTGCCACCTTACGCTTTTTACCTCAGTCAACCGACTGAAAGGACGAATTCCTTGGTGTCTGAAGCTTCAGGTATAGTTGATTTCTTGTACTTAAAGTTCCTTTTCTTTTGCATTCTCATTTTTTAAAACTCCTCCTAGTCTGCATCTCCAAGGACTTTAGGGGATGAGGAGGCTCTGAGCGCCAACGAGCTGTTAAACTTTGACAGAGTGTAATTCTGCTGTTCTTGCTCCTTGGCAGCGATGGTGGCTCGGGTGTATCGCTGCTGGCAGGCGTAGGACATGCAGCTAGCTACTTTTTATCTTCAAATTACTCAATGTTTCATAGCTGACCTTTGTTTAAAACTGTAATTACTATTCAAATCGTGGTAGGGTATCAATTATCATTCAAATATTAGCATCATTGGTCTGGTGATCACAGGCGTGTGTAGTAACCGAGGCAGAATTCCTGAAAGCCAAGGGTATGATTCAAAAATTGAGTGAACAGACAGGAACAGAATGCAGTGTGTAATGTGGTGATTCCTTAATCGGAGGAGGGTTGGTTTTTTGGGTTTTGGTATAGTTTTGCTTGTGTTGTTTTGGGTGGTGCGCATGAGGGGTGGTTGGTGGTGGGTTTTGGGGGTGTGGGGTTTTTTATCTTTTGATTGTTTTGCATTGTTTTTCTTTTTTTTTTGTGAAAGCCAAACAACTAATTAGCATATTTTAATTGTAACAGGGTGGATTCATTTCAGTAACAAACAGAGGCGCAGAGATGCAGCTCTGTTGTTTCTTCACAACCCACTGAGAGGGACAGATACAAGAAATTGCAGTGGGATTGAGACTGTATCTCTTCTCTTGTGTCAGCCCTCTTAGCCCCGGTAGTCTGTCTTTCTGCATGCTGCAGAGTGCTGCTGAGTACCAAACCAAAATGTTTGTAGCATCAGCTGGCTGCCCAGGATTATTCCTTGGGTGATGGAAGTTTTACGTACTGTACTGGAATTGAACAGTTTGTGGTGAATGAGGATTTGCTCCTTGACCACCAAGGAGCGGCGCTTTCATTACTGCTGTGTGTGATGTAACTGATTATGTTGCTTGTGTTTTGCATTGGGATTTTAGTAATTTCTGGTAACAAAAGCTTTAGTGAGATCCTTAAGCAATAGATGCAAATAATTAACACAGCATTCTTGTTAGCTTACAGGGCAGTATTTTACTAACGGATTTTGGGATTCCAGCTCCAGAGCTGTGAGCTTGAAACTTGGAATTTTTTTTTTTTTTTCTTATCAGGACTTTCATACTGGAAATTAAGTGAAAAGGAGCTGTATTACTCTTTACCAGAGAATTTCAGAAGCGAGTTTGCTGATGTTTTCTCCCTAAAAGCATCACCAGATCAGGTAAACTTTCTACATGCTTTAGAAGTTGTCTTATAGTTTTCCCCTACGATGGATAGAATCAGCTCTCCAGAAGCTAAATTTTCTGTGAGAACTCTTTGCTACCTCAGCTTCTCATACTCTATTACTTCATTATTCATTTACTCCTGCTAATGTCACTTGGAATTTATTGACCTTCTTGTGTCATTTAAATGTCTCGTTTCATCTCCTGTACACACAATTTCTAACGAGCACATTAAAGGTGTATTTGCCTCGTTAAAGACCTTTTTTTTTTAAAGTGGGTGTGTTGGCTACAGCCTTGTTCTGAACTGCTCTAGTAGCTAAACCCACCCCAGGACTTGCTTATCTGTACTGGGGATGGAGGATTGTGTTCAGATAAAGTAACGTAGCAATTTTGCCTGTTGAAGTTGTCTTCTGCTGATGAAACGAAGCTGTCGTTATTGAAGGATATTTATCATAAGAGACAAAGGGAAAACAAGCAGCTGCCAGACCCGAGTTTTATGCCTTCTTCCCAGTCCAGTCACCCACCAGAGGTAAATAATTTCTTTACTTCACGTCGCACTTTGAAGATATGAAAGGTAAGAGGCTGGTTTCACATTAATTGGCCCCTGCTGCCACCTCCAGTGTTACGCTGGAACAGCAATTTATGGAGCCGTGTGATGAACCAGCTTGGGAAGGGATCCAGCTGAAAAGAACCTCTTAAGAATACCCTGGGAAAACAGGCACCTTTGCTGCACGACCTTGGGGATGGTGCGGGGACGAATCTGCTTATGCGGAGGCTGCAGCTGCTGAAATGCACAGGGAGCTGCAGGCGCAGGGTTTTCTTACTGCTTCCCACAAGACCAGTTCATTCCACCCGTGAAACAGGAGAGGCAGAGGTTATGGAAATGTTCTTTATCTTGTCTGTTTCTTCATACAGCTTTCAGTCGTGTGCAGAAATCCAGTAATGATGGGTAGTCTGTTCATACAATTCATGGTGCGGTTTTGTAACTGTACAGTTAGTTTCAGCTTACAAGCAGACATCATAGTCCTGTTTACATAATGGAAATGTCAGGTTTTCTAGGTAGCTACACACATTAGAAACTCAAGCTGCCAACACTGGGGATATGAATCATCACCTAAGCTGTCCGTTCATCCTGCTCGTCACTATCAAATGTTTGGAGTAATATCCAGTATCATTCCTGCAGTGTATTATGTGGTTCACTGATGTTTTCACATAAACTCCATCTACAAAACAAAAGTTACAATGCTAAAAGAATTGTGATTTAACTTATTTCCTAGATTTTGACGTTGGACCCAACCCTGCATATGAAACCAGGTCAGCAGAACCCAGGATGCTGTGTTTTCAATATTCCTGAAGAGACGAGTCCTTTTTCTCCAGACTCTATGGCCGAGCCTGGATTTTCAAGTCATTGTGACACAGACTCTTTTTCACAGACAAGTTATTCATCTCAGTTAGTTGATTTTCCAGAATACCCTGGCAGCAGCAGAGCTGTGCATTTGGACCTCTGGAGAAATCACCCATTCCAAACCGAAAACAGGACCAGCTCCCCCTTTCCAATGGCACATACGGATGCTAATAATGAGAATCTGGTCAACACTGAGGAGGAAGAAACACTGACTCTAACTCCGTCTTCTGTTACTCAGCATGCTGACAACAGTTTGCCAGAATATAGTCTTTCAGTGACATCTGTTGAAGATCCGGTGATAATGTCGAAGTAAGTAATTATTTTTTTTCTTTTTTGAAAGCTGTAGAGTTGGTATTTTCATGAAAGAAGGGAAACTTAACAGTAAAATGAACAAAATCTGTGAGTTCTGTTTGCTTAGGACATAGCTGGCCATTTCTGCTTGGCTTTTTCCTCCTTGCTCCTGGCAGTATGGATGGCGCATAAACACAGCAGTCACTTGCCACTTCTTACCATTTTCTTTCTTTAGACCGTGCTATTTAATCTTCTTTAGACCTTTAATCTTAAGGCACAAAGCCTTAACTGGAAGGCAAAACATGTTTTATTTCGTTATTTCTTTTTCTACAGTAAAGTAAAAACCCTACTTCCTTCGTGGGCTGTGTCAGGGTGTTAATTTAGGCAGAGAATTCCGAAGTTCGGTGGGGGTTATGCTTTCCTATTTAGAGTCAAATGGTGGGAGAAGCATGGAATGACTGTAATTAGGGGAAATAAATATCCCCCACGCACTGGTGAAGCTCCTGTGATTTTCACGTGGACGATCAGATGTGGTGCATATTCCATCTGTGAGGGCTTACGTGGGTCTGTGGTTTCAGGACAGTTCAGTGTTGGAGTTTTTCCTATTTCGACTTTACTCACATAGTTTCTAGTGGATGGCAAAGGTGAGAAGAGAGTATAAAGTTTTGTTTGTATATACTACCTGTATTTATTAATCTGAAGACTTTTTGCAAGCCTTAGGTGTCTGGCACCACTGCCTTAGCCTATGAAGCTTTCTTGAATGTGGGCACGACAAAGCTCTGTGATTTATATGCTGAGATCGCTGCATGGGACCGAATACAGTGATGCATGGTCATATGGATAGCTGGAAATTTTGTTTTGTTCTTAATTTTGAAAATAGGATTAGGCAGAACTTGAGGGAAAAACATGCTCGACACATAGCTGACCTACGAGCGTACTATGACTCTGAGATACAGAGCTTAAAACAGCAGCTAGAGGCAAGACATAAAACTGCTTCAGCTGAAGACTTGAAGAAAATCAACCAAGATCTTGCTGACAGGTACCGTTTGTCCTCACTTGTCCCCTTCCTCTGTCACATGGTTGTCTTTCCACTGCAAAAACTGACAATGCTTGTTTCATGCATCTGTGATGCTGATATTTCCCTATTAAACACAAATATTATGTTATTTAATGCAGCTGTTTAAGATTAGTTTAAAATTATTGCCAGGCAGCGAGTGTCTGATTTTTGACCCAGAACTCTTGTTTGACCTGATTTTTGCACAGGCCAGTGTAAGTTTTGCTCAAGACTGGCAGGCTGAGGTAGACCTAAGCAATTTGTAGTAGAAGCGTCTCTGTTGTGAGATGATGGTGCTCGCCTATTGTGCTGCTGAACATCATCCCTCTTTACCTTTTAAAACTACAGATGATCTAGGACCAATCCCGAATTCATTCCTAGCTTTATAAAGCCAATTTGCCAGTGGATGCTCTTTGACCAGATATTACTGCTGGAGCCTGTGTGCCTCACCTCTGTATTCAGTGAGATACAGCTTCAGTGTTTGCCATACAGAGAAATTCGATGTGATTTTTAGATCATTATTGCCAGTCAGAGCGCATTTTGCAGATTTAGACAGCTAAAATACCTTTCAAAATATATGCCCTTCAGAATAATTGAAACAGTGTGTGGGTAGTGGCTCTTTTGTACAAGTCTTCCGGCACTAGCGTGGTGTATCTATTAATAAATGACTGCTCACAAGTCACTTTTGGGTTGCAGTAGCTTGCGATACAATTACAGTCGCTAATTAGCACACGGCATCATCAATTAGCTGAAGTGGAGCTCCGCTCTGCTGCATCTCAGCTGCTTTTGATTCTGCAGCTCTCGTGCTCGGAGCCATCTGGATCTCCGCACGTGTTCCCCCCACGGCCACCACAGCCCTGCCTGGACGCTGGCTGCTCGCTGGGGCGGCCAAAGACGAGGGGAGGAGGGCACAGGCCGGGCACCCAGATCAGTGGGGAGGCTTGAGGAAGGGAAGGAGGCTGTAAAACGTAGATGTGTTATTTTAAAATTGTGAGAGTTTTGCAATCTGCATTTCTGAATAGGTGTGAGCAATTGGACGCGGCTCTGAATGAAGCAAGCGCTCGCATTAAAGCCCTTGAAAACAAGAATAATATGCTTGAAAAGCAAGTGGTAAGTATATGGTGTTAATTCCAGTTGCTTTTTAACTCAAAGGGCAAGAGAATGCACCTGTTCATTGCGATGATCTGTTTCCCTAGCATTCTCCCTTGGTTTTATTTGTTTTCACCTTTCCCTTCAGTATGACATCAGCCAGTGTGTTACACTGCTGACTCTTCTAGCTGAGCTTCTTACAACTCCCTGCTTGAATAAATCACCAGGACTTTTGCTTATCAACAACCTTTCCACGTTATCAGGGATCACAGGTTAAGAGTGAAATTTTGTGATGTTTACGATGTCCCTCTCTAGATATATTTTTAACATTTATTTTAATTACTTCCTCTTTGACCTCTTATCAGAGCTGTCATAAAGGAAATCTCATCTGTACCAGGACAAGAGTATTCTAAGTACATTGCCCCAGTCTTTCTGGCTAGGTCAGACCAGTTTGCTTAGTGCAAAGCTGCACTTATTGGTCAAAGGGCAGGACGCTTTGTCATGGAAGTCAGAGACCTGGAGAGAACAGGTCATTTGGGCTTTTTTAGATGTTTTTCTATGCTGGGAAGACAGACGAGCAGCGAGGATTAGAAGCCTGACTGCTAGATACTTTAAGTCCTGTAAAATAAGTATGTCTTCTGTTTTTTTAGCCTTCACTTTCATTCTTTGTACATCACAGAAATGAGCAAAAAATCTTGTTTAGTTGATGTAGAGACGTACCCTTGTTTTCTATGTGGGCCATTTTAGCTTATGCGTTGTACCGGAATAAAAAACCGCTAGTAACGCGCTCTGACGAGCGGTTTCTCTTGCAGGCAGATTGGAGGGAACGCTTTCACGCAGGCAGCAACACTGCCAAGGTTTTGCAAGAACGCGTTGAGGAAATGCGCTCAGATAATAAAGAGAAGGATAACACTATCAGTCGGCTGAAGTCACGGCTTAAAGATCTGGAGGAAGCATTTGAAAAGGCTTACAAGTTGTCTGATAATAAAAACACAAGGCTAAAGGAAGAAAATAAAAGGTTTCAAAACGTAAGTAAGAAGATGGGCAGTGGTGTTTACAGGGGCACAGCGTCGTACCCACACAGCCAGTCCTGGGTGTTTTGGAAAACTACTCCGAGTTTACCACCCTGAAGTTGAGAACAGAAGTTATCCAGCCGACTGCTTCGTGGGCCGGGTGTTAGGGGATGGGACACACTTCATAGGTATTTCAAACCCACTGTCGAAGGCAGCAAGTGTGTACCTCATGCGAGAACACTTGTCCGTCTGGGGTGTTTTGTTACTCGGTGTGCTACTAGTTCCTCTTATTTTTAGAGCTATTGCAGGGAATTATTCTGGAACAATTACATTTTCCTTTCTTAAGTGTAGTGGGTATGGGCTGAATTTCTTTCCTAAGTGGTCACAACTTGCCAAAACTGTTAATTTTCTGTACAATTTCAGACTTCAGTCGTAGCTTTGTAGAAGGCTTAAATGGATTGGCAGAATGGGCATTAGCTGGAAAAGCTACTTCATGCTTTAACTCCTTTTTTACAATTAACATTTCAAAATACAAAGCCAGCTTTAAAGTCAGGGAGGAATTTCACCCGTTTGGTCTCATCTTTCGGTTTGTTTAGAGAGAAATCATTTGAAAATGAGAAATACGTTGTGTCAGTAGCTCTGTCTCCTCTTGTCCTAATTGTTCCACGTAGGAGATGGTGGAACTTACCCAGTGCACTTGAATAGTATTTGTTATCCCCTGTAGTGCTTCTGCACGTAGTGGACACGCAGTTCAGAATTCGGGTGGCTTTACAGCAGTCAAGAACCCTGTTGATTGTATCTAGTCTCAGTGTGAGTTTAAGTGTTTTTTTTTGTTTCGTTGTAGCTTTTAGGAGAATATGAGTCCCTTGGAAAAGAACACGAAAGAGTGAAGGTAAGTACACGCTGGTTAATTAAAAAGTGGCTGTGCAATATGTGTGATAATGTGCCATCGGATGAACCGAGTTAACTTGAGTATTTTGAAAAAGATCAAATGGAAAGATCCATATTTATTTTAACCGACAGCTTTTTACATCTTCAGAGCCTGGAAGAGGAGGGGGTTTAGAGTGGGTCGTTTCCCAATCATAGACAGCAGAAATACTGCCAAATCAGCCAAAGAAAGTTACTGGAGCTCCATTTCAGCTAGGGAAACGTATTTAATGCATCGTTGTGGAGACTGATGTACAGTTACTCGTTTTTCTTTTAATACACTCTGTAGCTTTTCACTTTTTTCCTTGTGTGCTTGTAGGATACATTAAATGCAACTGAATACAAACTGCTGGATGCAAACACGCAGATTTCAGATCTGAAAAGGTAAATGTCTTACTGCTCTTTTCACAGTGTGAAATGCAGGCTACGGCCACAACGCTTACTCCTAGATCGTGAAGGCTGTAGATCTTGCAATTTTAGTTACATCTGAGGAAGCATTTCCGTGTTGCTTTCTGTCACTTTGTACACTCTGTAAAGATCTTGTCACCTTAGGATCTGTGTTTTTCTTACTTCCTCCATCACCCCACCTCCGAGTGGGATGCAATGAATCGCTTCCTTTCTGAGAGCTGTCACTCAGGTGGCCCTGCCAGTCCACTGCTGAGGCTCTTACTGCTGCGGTTGTCTCCTCAGGAAGCCCCCTCCTCAGTCTGTTCTGGTTTTCAGGAGCGAGGGTGCTGGCAGGAGTTTGCTCTTCAAGGTTATGGCTCCGAGGCATAAATAAAGGACAGAAAGGTGTTCTGTGTATACAGCAGGGATATCATCTCCTGTGGGGGTCCCTCATGCTACCTGGTTCTGTTTTTTTAGCTGGGAGAACAGGAATCCACTGAGTTTTACCCTTTCTGGGTAGGCCCTAGGCAAGACATATGTGCCCGTCAAGGGGTTTATAAACATACCCTCTAGTCTGGGGTTTCTTGGCCACTCCTTGTCAGGGTTGTTAAGCACACTGGCTCAGGGAAGTCTAGAGAGGTGTGAGGAGAGGACATCTGAGAGGCTCTTGGGCAGGCATTGTGGAACTGTGATGAGCTGATGCTTCACATCGTTCATCTCCCTTTGAGCTGCCTCTGTGGGTATATGCTGTCATAATTCAAAGTTTTCATATGAGCAGCTGAAACCCAGACTGTTAGGAAGACATTTTTTTTTTTAAATGCGTGGTTTTTGATGATTCTTCTAGAATGTGGCTACACGTTTCAAGATGCATTCCAAATGCCATTCACCCAACATTAACCTGTGCGTAATCAGCAGGCAGAACCAGAAAAACAGTAAGTGTGGTGCTTGGGAGATGTGAGTCCTTTTCTTTGCTTCTCAGATCATCCAGTTATTCAAGAAGAAGAATAGATAGAATGAATAGGGAGAATTTAAGAAAGGAATAGAAGGAAGCCTAACCCACTCTGCCTCCATTTTTTTATCGGGACTGTTGAGGAAATGCAGATAGCGGGAAGGGTAGTTCAGTTCGTGCTTCTATTTTCCTGCCTGATTCCTGATGCTGCTAGCCAGGGACCATTCCAGACTGGGAAAACTGCAGTGGACAAAGGAGGTGTTTATATCCTGCTCCAAACCCCTGTGTTTCTATCCCCCAAGTGGGGAATGCCCAAGATTGTGTTGCATTGCCAAGGGCTGGCTCACTGGAGGTGTGGGAGAGGATAATCACGTGAAGAGCCTGAGCAGCAGATTGGTGGCGTTACCCGAGTGACACACAGGAGGAGGAGCCACTCATCCAAACCAGTCGGGGACCCCTTTGTAGAAATCCATCATTTCAAGGGGGCAAACCCTTCTTGTTTTGTCTTCCCCAACCCCTCTGAGTTGAATGCCTTGATCCACAGCAATCCCTCCTGGCTCTGTCTTTCTGGCAAGGTTACCTGACTTAGTTAATTTAGAATTCAAATGCCTATTTATATACATATTTAGATAGGTAAAAACATAGTAGCTGCTCTTGTTCTTCTGCTTCACTCAAGATATCTGAATAAAAATGAGTAAACTCTAAGAAATACGCTCTCTCTTTTATGTCTTTTTAAATAATCTCCTGATGCATCATTGCTGCTTCCACATTAGGACAATTTCAAAACTTGAAGCACAGCTCAAGCAAGTAGAACATGAAAATACGTTGAAACTGCGCCATATCACTGAAAGTCGTTTAAGAACCTCTTGCGCCAAGTAAGTGAATATCCCAACAGTGTGAAAACAGGTCGTGTTTTACAATACTTGTAAATGCGTTTTGGCTAAAAAACGAATAGAGAAGATGTCAGTCCATAGGCAAAACTGGATTAAACACATGATGTAACCCAGAGACTTCACATGCCAAGAAGTTATTAAAACCAAATAAATACTTTGGATGTGATATGTGTGACTTGGCAGACTGTCTCTAGCCTTCCTCAGGGACTGTTTGTTCGGTCTCAGGTGCTCAGCTGAATAGGGATTCCCATGTGCCACAAAGCTTTTTGGGAATCAAATCTAACAGTCCAGTAGGACATTTGAGGTTTCCTTTCATTGAACCCTAAGGCTGATTACTAGGTTTTATGTTTTTAAATATAGTTTGTACAGGTATCCTGAGAGCAGAGTGGAAGTCCAATTAGAATGCATACTCCAGTCTGAACTGTGAATTTGTGTTAAGGACATTAAAGTTGGCCTGTGTTCTGTTTTGTTCCTTGTGTGTTTTAAAGACCTGAAAAGCTTTGTCCTCCCCCTTTTCTTTTTTTATTACTTAGCTGTGGCTTCTTGGGCATCCCTCCCAGGTCAGTGCTGATGTTGCGAAGCACGGAATGATAATGTAATGTGTTAAGACATTTTCCCCAATATCCAATCTAAACCTTCCCTGGTGCAGCTTGAGGCCGTTTCCTCAAGCGAAGAGACTGACCCCCACCTCTGCAGCCTCCTTTCAGGAGTGGTCTGAGTAAAGAGCAATAAGTTACAAGAAGTTTTTCGTGGAGTTCTCCGTTCTGAAAACATTGTGTAATTTAGACTGAAACCTCAACATAATGATTTTGTATTTACAGGTTTATTGTTTGTTCGTTATTGTTTCTGTTACCTGGAAAAAAAATAACTGGGTTTTCTCAATCTTTTTTTCATATATTTAAAAAATCAAAAAGAAAAATCTAAAGCCTTTCGTAATTTTGAAGTTTTTTTGTTCCCACAGCAAGCTGGCAACTCCTGATGTCAGCAGGCGAAAGTGGCTGATACCAGGAGCGGAGTATTCAATCTTCACTGGCCAGCCTCTGGAAGCCCCGGGAAGCCCCAAGGACAACAGGTTAGAAGAAGCCTATATTCCTTCTAGGTGAGGTCCTTCCATCTCCACTGTGATGTAAAGTTGAACGCTTCTAAAAATAGTTGTATCCCTAATTGACTGGATTCATATTTCTGTGTTTCGTACTTGTTAAGTAAGGCTCTCAAAGATTTGTCAGTGCTGTAGGTGCAATGCAATTCCTTAAGCACAATCCAGCTTTCTTCCTTCACTCACCTGGTACAAAGCAAGCAGTGGCAGCAGCCTTTGGTACCTTCCTTGAAATACCAGAAAGCTCCAACTGCATCTTGCTCCCCTGTCTCTACGCTCTCCATGCCTGTGTCCAGCTCTACTCTGAGTCGGGACGCAGCCGGGACTGTTGTACTGGACATGAGCTGTCATGGTTGGCTGCAGCTTTCCCTCAGTGTAAAGCTTCAGGTGTAATTTGGGGTGGGATTTTGCCTCTTTAGTTTGCCTTCTTCCTCAGAAGTTTCTAAAGCTTCTGTCAGGAAGTATTTAGTTCTAAGAACGTGTCAAGTCATCAAAGACAGCTCCTACTGCTCAGCTTTGGGGTCTTGAATTAGCTGTAACATAATCCTCTGAGGTTCTTGGCTCAAAGTAAAAAGCAGCCTTAAAGTTTTTGTGTTGTCGACTGTAAATGTCAAACTACGTTTCTCCAGGTTTTTGTTGATTCAGCTAGTGTTTGGATGCATGAAATAAAGTAAAATAACGTGATACTTTCCTCCTCACCTCCCTGCATTCTTTAAGGTACCATTCTCCCCCTGAGAAAGACTCCCCACAAGAGGACTCTTCAACAAACTCTGGAGAAAAGAAAGAAAATGGGATGTCCGAAGCACCAATTATAAAAGCCTTTAAAGAGCTTGAAGAAGGAAAAGCATTTAAAGATTGGGGGACACAGACAGAAAAAGAAGATACATCAGCTAGTAAGTTTTATTTTTATATTCCTGAACTTGTCTTTACTGGCTTTTCTTTGCATGTCTTAGGGTTTTCTTACTCTCGGCACTGAAGTCCTTCAGGCTTGAGTGAGGGGATAAACAGTGTTAGTATGTAAACTTCTGGAGCTTTCCAAAGAAAATTCAAAATGGTACAGCTAAATGTCTTGTTTAAAATAGAGGGAATGCAAAGGCTGCTGTTAGGTCTCAAGCTACAGTCTCATCAGTGTCCTTTTTCTAAGAATATCTCGGTATTTATAAGCAGTTAATGGAGCCCTAACAAAGCTCTGGCTGGCTGCACATCCATTTTAGTTTCGTTATGGTGTTGTGTTAGAAGGCAATTAAGGAAGGTGGCATGTGTACTGTAGGGCTGATCCGAGCTGATCCAACAACATTGATCTAGGAAGCCTTGTAATTAGAAACCATCGAGTCTCTCCAAAGTGCTTATGTTCTTGGTGCAGGCAGATGCTCCAGCCCTCTTTCCCAAAAGATGCTTTTGTCCTGCTTTCCACTGTCTTTTCATTAAATCAGTGCTATTTAGCATCATTTCTTCCACACACACTGCAAAGCATCCTTCTTCATCGCTGTGACAAGCAGGAAGCAAGACTAGAGCAAAACAGCACAAATGTGTTGACGTGGGGGAGACCAAGTGCAGTTTTTATACAGTAAAAGCTGAGTATAGGAGAATATCTGAGTTCCTGTATTGAAAAACATTGATAGAATAACTCTTTCCTTTTAAACAGAAACATCGCATCGACGTCCGACCGTTGGGTTTGTTGAAACTTCGTTTGTTGCCAACCGGTCCCCAGAGAAAGCGAAGGACCAACACAGACCGAAACGCTACAGCTCCCCCTGTGGCCAGAGGTCGTCGTCCCTTCCTCCCGCCAACAGGAAATCAAATACTCCAAGTATGTGCTTCTGAGCTCTGCTTGGTGTTACTCGGAGTAGAGGCAAATGGTGAAGAAAGGAAGGAAATTGAAATAGGATTTCTGCATTGTTCTAACAAAGAATCTGGAAAAAAGCTTGTCTATAGTCCTAGAAAACGTGAAAGCTCTAAGTTTATTTTAGTTATTCTGTGCTGTGATGCGCTTCTCATCTGATTCAAGTAAACAGCTTTGAAAAGCATTCCTTTAAAGGTGTGAGCATCTGATCACGTGAGTGGGAGATACCTAAAATTTCTCCCCGTGAAGTACTTAAACATAACTTCATCTTTTGCAGCAAGAAGAGAGATCATGTTGGCACCAGTGTCTGTGACATACAGCCCAAAACGGTCTCCAAAAGAAAACCTCTCTCCTGGATTTAGCCATTTGCTTAGCAAAAACGAAAACACGGTGACCAGGTACGAGTTTTGTGAGTGCAGTCATGTTCTGATCGTTCTAGCAGCAGTCTGTTTTATGCGGGCTAATACTGTTCCTGCTGTTTCTTGGTCATCAAAAGTCCTAGAAAAGGAGTTGTGAAGATTTCTGAACATGAAGTTTTACTTTATAAGATCTGGCAAGAAAAATCTAGAATGATTTCCCATCAGCAGCACTCGCCAGGATGAGATGTTGGAGCTCGTGTTGCCGCAGTGTTGATGGGGGACACAGAAGTTGGAGGAGCTGTTCTGTGGAGCGAGTCGGGTCTACCTGCCGCTTACCAGGGAATGTAGGAGTATCTACGCTCGTGTCATGCCACCCACAGCCGTGTTAAAAAAAACATAAGCTTTGCTTTCAGCTTACTGTACTAGATACTACGGGTTCTGTAGAGGTCTTTGGCAAGACTTGTGGGGTTTCAGAGAACACACTTAGCTGCGAGATCGAAGCGTAGGGCATGAGGAAGGAGGGATGTAGCACTTGGGTGGCTCTTGAGGATGACGACACGGGAGCTCAGTGTGTTCAGGAGTGACAGCCAGGCCTGCTCCTGACAGAGATTCACGTGAATGAGGGGGTTTGGTGTGTACAAAGGGGAGGATGTTGGTGTGTGGTACTATTAGCAGTAGCCAGAAGACTTGCAGTGCCTGTAGGGTAGAAATTGTCATATGAAAAATGTGTTTATTTAACCAAAAGTTGAAAAAGTTAAGAAAATACTGTGTTGCTTGATACATGACTTCTGATAAGTAATGGTTGTGTGCTTCCTGCCCTGTAGGTTTGATATACTTCTAGATGACCTGGAAGCTGGTCCTACATCTACTTCACAGCACAACCACCCAAGAAAACAGCTCCAGTTTATCTCACTAGATGATGCAGAAGGTAATCTGTCCAAGAGGGGGAAAACTGTTCTTTATTTTTTTTTACTGTAATTTCTTCCCCATGGGTAACAGCTGCTTAAATAGAAAGCTGACACTTTATGAAGTCCAACTTTTAAAAATCCTCTAAATTTTGTCTTAGCCTTGCAGACAGAGAAATGCAGTTCATGCAGCGTTTTATTTTTGTGTGCGTGTGCGCAAACATAAGGGAACAGCGAAACCGATGACGCTGAGAGAGAAGGGCAGTATGTTTCCCTGTAACGCAGTCGCACAGCGCGTGTCCTAGGGTCAGCGCTCGGGTGTACAAACTCGGTCACGCTAACAAAGCTAAACGCTGCATTACAGATAGCAAAGAGTAACTGGAATACAGCCAGTTGTTTCAGATTCTTTAAATGACTGATTGAACCAAATCTTCCCTCACTTTCATAATGCTTGGCACCATGTTCTGCTTTTGTTTTCATTAATGCATTTATTTAGACTAGTGTGTTCGTGACAACTAGTCTGCTTGGTGATATTGAGCATGTTGTTCCAGTAGAAGTAATTCCTAATTAGCACAGTACAGTAATCGGTGTGTTAACCCAAGAAATATGCTGTGGTAGAAAGATCCTTTGAAAGATGACCCATACAAATGTTTTGCATTCTCAGGGAAGTTTGCTTAAGGCAAGCTCATGAGGCTTCGCTAGTCACTCACCTTCTCTACCTCCAGATCACGCTGCTTTTCTTGTTGTTAGGGTTCTTTTTCTGTCCTGATGAATGATTTCAGACAATTACAAAACAAACGAAAAGACCCCTCTCTTGTTGGCAGGAAGGCAGAATTCAGGAGTCAGACACCGCTTTTGTGCCCAATCCCTCAACGCTGCAGCGAAGACAGCGACAGCGTGGGACGAGAGGAGCGCAGCACCAGAATACGAGCCAGTGCCATCGCCATGTGAGGGAGACTTCAAGTACACAGCAAGGCTTAAGACTCTGGCGGAAACGGAGAGGCTTTTTGATGAGCTGACTCAGGAAAAGCAACAGGTAAAGCTTATTTTTATTTTAAAGTTGGGACGAGGCGCAGTTGATGTCCGAGAAGTGAGGGACGTAGCCGTACGCCTACGCAATGCATGGCTGAAATGCATGCACCATTCTAGTGTTAACCACCGGAATGTGCCCTTATTCCCTGCTCCAGTCCCTTTCTGTCCCTAATGGATGGAAGAGTTGGGGCGAGATCCCTTTCTTCCTCGGTGGACAGGGCTTTAAACCAGCCTCTCAAAAAGGGGAAGGTTGTTTTGGCAACCGAGCGCTCTATTCAGAATGGCCCTTGAGAGGGTCTGCATAGGAACGTCAACCGCGGTACCCCTTCTGTATGGCGCAGCGTTGTGGTAGCAGAAGGTGGAGTTGAACAACGTTGGACGTGTGTCTGTAATCTCCAGAGCTCACCCCTTTTGTAGGGTTAGTTGGGAAGGTTTGCATTGGCTCCCAAAACTGTAAGTTACAGCTGAAATATTTTCTGTTACTAGATTGAGGCTGCCTTGAGTCGAATACCTTGTTCTGGCAGAAGAATGACCTTGCAAGCAAGATTAAATCAGGTGATAAAGCTGCTACATATGACTGTTCTCTTAAGTTCTCTCCCACAGTTTGAGAATATATAGTTCAGGTGACAGTTCTGCCGCATAGGAAGCGCAATTGCTGTGGGAATTTTTCCATACCACAGAGAATTGTTCCTCAATATGGCTGAATGTTGAATCTGTGTGAAAGATGTTCTGTCTCTAGACTCTGCTGCATTAGGAGATAACGGGGAAGTTACTGCAGGTTGATCATAAACACACTCTGAATTGCTATGTAAAAGCTGGAAGCCTGGATAATTTGTATGCAAATGGTTCAGGAAAGAGTAATTGACCTGCAAACATCGGATTTCTGTCCCCTCAACTGACAAATGTTCTTTTGTGTGTTTACATATACGCATATAAAGTATGCGTGTATCACACGTCTACGTACTACAGAGCGTATGTTCTGCGTAAGACTCTCCGTGCCTTCCATTTTTTTTGTACATGGGATGCATTTTTCTGAATTATTACAAGAATAGGCTGTTGTGACAACACTGAGGGGTAGATAAAAGCAATGCATTAGGAAAACGCAGTGACTCTGAAATAGATCCCTGCAGCTGTGGAGAGGATAACAGAATCATGGAACGGTTTGGGTTGGAAGGGACCTTAAAGACCATCTAGTTCCAGCCCTCCTGCCAGGGTCAGGGACACCTTCCACTAGACCACGATGTTGTGCTGCTGAAGGAAGCGCAAAGTTTAGTTTTGTTTGGGTTTTGCCTACTTGAAAGGATAAAGAAGAAAACAAGAAGGCAAAAATAAGTAGTGTAGGTGGAATAGAGGAGAGCACCGCCTTGGGAAAGCTCTGCAGGCTCTTTAAAATCAAGCGTCTCCAAGTTGTGTAAAGCCTACAACTTCAGCACTTCCTACACTGTAATCCCAGGGATTGTTATCAATTTATCAACTGGAAAGTGAAAGTGCATTTTGGTAAATCAGTACTGCCACTCCCTACGGTGCTCGGCTGTTTCCCGAAGGTCTCCCAGAGCGTCAGCCTGTCCCGATTCCTGTCAAGTTTATCTCATGGACTTTCCTAAGTCATATGGAAAAAAAAACCCAAAATACCAGAAACAGTTTTAGAAAAAGCCAACAACCCTCAAATACACACACACGGACATGAAATAATATGAAGAGTTTGTAGGTTGGGGGTTCTTTGGTGCCCACACAATGCACCAAAAAGGATTCCAGCTGCATAAAGCAATAGTAGTTTCTTCATTTTAGACAGATCGTTGGATTTTGTTGTATGGTATTAAATCTTTTTTTTCCTTTGCCTGTTTCTTCTAGGAAGCCCTGGAAGATCGCTTGGAAAGGATCGATAGAGATTTGGGGTTAATACGCATGACTCTGAAAAGATTTCACGTTTTACGTACCTCCGCCAATCTCTGACAATTCCCTCTTGAATGCACATATGCTTTTTTTTTTTTGCACTAATATGTAATTAAGCACTCAGTAAATGCAAGTTGTTTTGTATTTTTATAAGCCCTCAGTCGTAGTTTTACAACCATCTTACCCTTTACGAACAGCAATATTTTGTACTTCAAACAGCCACCTATATTTTAAACATATTTTTGTTATGAGAGATTAATGTTTATCCTGTATTGTAATATTTTTAGAAATATTAATTATTTTTAAATAGCGATATTCAATTTATAATAAGAATGGGAAACTAAAAGGCAGCTTGTTTTCAGAAAATGACAGTGTTATCCTTTTGCACTTGGTTTTCCTCACTGTTTTGTAAGTATTTATGGTATGGTGTAAATATTTGCCAACAGATGTTGAACTTGAATACAAAAAGTGACATGAATTACCTGTGTGCCGGTAACTCCTGTTCTGTGGTAAATCCTTCTAATTTAAACCGTGCAGCACGGATATTTTGCGTTGTGACGGAGTAGCGAGCAACACTGCTGGCTGGCTGGCTGCAAATCGGGGTGTGCTTTGCGAGCTGGGTCGCCGCTGGCTGTGCGGAAAGTGCCGCTCTAACGCATCTGCCGTCTCCCAGCAGCCGCGGTCAGTAGAGCCTTGGCAGCGCACGCGTGTGCGACTGACAGCAGCCACCCTGTCTCCCAGCGAGCGGCTCGGCTCCGGCTGACGCTCCAGGACTGTAACTGGCCCCACTTTTTAATAGGCCAGGCTGTTTTTTGTGCCGTGCCAGTGTTCTGACCACGTACATTTCCCAGTCGAATCCAAGCTGTATTTGTGAACATCCATGCGTTTTTCTTGGTGAAAAATACATATTTGCTCATTGGCATATTGCTGAATTACTGTCCAACATTGATATTTTTGTTTGTATTTTAATATTAAATAAATGTTTAATCAGATTCTTTCCTCCTGCCCAAGAACAGTAATAGGTTCTGGGATATTACATCAGCGATAATGTAGGTTTTAATCATATTGTGTGTTTCAAATTCTGTCCTTGTTCAAGATGTTTAGCCACCAATGATGTGATTATAAGGCCAGAGTAGCTGTTGTAAAGGAAGCTGGTGAAGGGCTGATTCTAAAATTAGCGTGCTGTGTTTTAAGATATTTGACAAAGTATCCTACCTGTGCACAGTCTTTTCAAAAAACTGTATTTTGTGCAGCTGCTCCTGCCCTGCGGGTTCTTCTAATGCAAGAGCCAAGGTGGGGAGGAGCCCAGGGATCTTAGTTACTCATTTTCCCCTTTAAAATTTAGAAATTGGGCCTAAAATTGCTTGAAGACAGTTTGCTCAAATGTACTTCCAGGTACATGAATAGGTGTGCAGTTTTGATGGTATTCCACATTCTTACTTGCAATTTTTACTCAAGGGGTTGAGGGAGGAAAAAGGTACCTTGGCTCCCTCGTGCACCTCCACTATTCAGCTGAAGCAGCTTTCCCAGCATTTTCTGTATTCGCAGGTACCATTTAAAAGTGTTCTTCAGCAGTGTCACTCAGCCAGCAGGTTTTTTCCAAGGAATCCATCACTGGAACGTTTCACATGAGTCCCTTAATGCTCTCGTGTTCTTTCATCCGCGCTGCAGCACAACCAAACGGCATTTTCCTGACAGGCATTAGAAACGAGCAGGTAACATTCAGCTATTTCGCTGCCTTCCCTTATAACACCCCTCTCTCCGCTCTGTTCTTCCCCGTGCGATTCGTATCCACGTACTCCCTTAGTACAGCCAGAACACTGACTTGTGAGTCAGAATTTATTTTTTAACCAAAAGTCCTTTGGCTGTTGGAGCTCTTGAGGCTATTTCTGTTCTGTCAGAACACAGAGCGGGGCTGGGGGGTGTGTGTGTAAGTGTTGCTCTCGCTAAACTCTAGGCCAACCTTTCCAAACGCGTGTCCGGCTCGGGGTGACCCGTTCCGTGTGGTGCCTTTGGCCTGGTTCTTCAGAGGGGCAGGGGATCTGCAGTTCCAGATTCAATGGGAGGCCTGGAGGCTCAGCGCTTCTGAAAATGAAACCTGAAGCATCAAGAAGTGGGGCACGAGGTGCGTGTTTCGGGACTGCGTTGCTGTGCACCTTGCTGGACACTGCCTTGGTGTTTGGTTGGTTGGTTTTTAACCCCTTTTAAAATTCTTCACCTTAACGCGAGCAAATTGCCCTGTTCCATATTTGGAGACAAATAACGACTTCCAGAGAACCAGGAACTTAGCCTTCCTCTGAGGAGGACTGTACTCCTCTTCCTCTCCACCTGACACCT